TCTTCCCTGGCTCCTGTCCCAGAGCAGAGATCAGTGCCTGCCCCTCCTCTTCCCCAGGAAATTCCTCCTGTGGACACCTGGGCTCCTTCTCTCTGTGGCACACTTCCTGTGGGAGCTGAGAAGTTCTGGAGAATGATCCCAGAACAAGGTCCCACCTGCCACAACTTCACATCAACTGCTCATACAGTTATGTGTAAAATACCTGTTTTATATTGTAAATGTTTGGTGTACAGGTAGGATGGTTCAGTCTTGGTACTCTGTTCTGCTGGAAAAGTCACTCTGCCAGCACAGAACTTCTCTGCCCACAGCAGTGCATCAGTTCAGGCACTGAAAATGGAGCAGGAGCTGCTCTGGGTGCCTGGATAAATCCTGTCAGCAGAGATCCTCCCCGAGTACGCCCCTGGCCCAGGAGCCCTGCTGATGTGGAGCCTCCAGTGCCTCCCAGTGCCTCCCAGTCTGCAGGGGCCATGTTCCAGCTGCTGGAAATGCCCAGGAAAGAGCCATGGTCTTGGTGCCCTTCACAACAGGTAGAAGGTGTCAAACAAACTTTGTCAGTAGTACAGCGGTCGTGGCTCTGGGGAGCCCTTTTCTCTGTAGGTGAGAGTCTGCGCCGTGGTGTGCCCAAGCCTGGCCTCAGAGCAGGGGGAGACTGCTTTAAAAAGCTCTTGTGTCTTTGCAGGGTGACTCTTCCAGAGGGATGGTTACCACTGGAGCAGGTGACATTCCCCCAGCTGCTGCTTGCCCATCTCCTCCTGTCTCCAGCGAGCACAGGCAGTGCCAGAACTTGGCAGAGACTCAGTACAGAGTCCCAGGATGTTCTGGTCTGGAAGGGGCCTTAAAAGAGCATCTGGTCCCCCTTCCACTAGAAAGAGGAAAAAAAACCGTGGTATTTTAGTGCCCTTTTCTGCCTCCTTGCTCCTCTCAGAGATGTTTCCAGGTGCTCCCAGCCACATCAGACACAGGACAGGTGCAGCCACAAGACCATGGGGAAGAAAGGTGAAAAGCCTTTACTGGACCAGAACAAGATACACTTTATTCAATATTGGGATTCAGGTATCTATTCCTTTAGGCTATGTTAAAAAAGAAAGAGGTGGGTGCGAGCACAGCAAAGGGCAATGAATTCCCATGTCATGTGCCCTCTCTATTTCCCCACATCCACCTCTCTCAGTGCCCACAGGCCCAGGAATGTGCCCTAAATCCTTTGGGAGCCCTGTGCTCACAGCTGAAGAGAGCAGGGATGGATGACACTTTGCAAACAAGACTCCCAATGTGCAGGAAGAGAATTGATCCTGGTGTGATTAAGCATCAGGTAGAGATGAACATATAATTATCCAGTCAAAGCAACGTGGCTTCATCTCAAGGAGGCTGGCTCCTCTCCAGAGTGACTCCCACTGTAATTGTGAGCACCCTGGCTCCCCAGGAGATCTCCTGCTTGGGACTCCTCTCCTTCACCCAGCTCTTGCTGGGCAACCCCTTGCCATAAAGAGAAAGGGGAAGCACAGATGCCACACAGAGAAATGGGAAGCACAGATGTCACACAGAGAAATGGGAAGCACAGCTGTCCAGCACGGGGCAAACAGCAGAGCCAGTCCCCTGTGCCTTGTCACACGGGCCTGGAGAAAGGGCCAGCACGAGGATGCTGTGGAGCATCACTGCATGCCGAGGTCACAGCCCCACACTGCCTCATGGTGACCTCTGTCACAGCTGCTGGATCAAACAGCCCAAGGAGGGGCAGGAATCTGCAGCAGGAGTCAGCCCCAGCCCTGTACAGATGTGCTCTCTCTATTTCCAGATTAACCTTTCAGAAATGTCAGCCAAACAACCTCTGCCTCCCTGGTACAACCTGGAATTTTCGGGCCTGTGACTAGAGCTTCAATTAACTCCTTCAGTGCTCCTGCTAACCTTCCAGCCTTCTCCCAGGAAATGTCAGCTCCAGGGTCCTTTCTTCTGCAGCTATTTTGATGCCTCACACGTCGGTGACCTCTCTCCCCTGCTGCACCACTCGGGATGGTGGAGTCAAAGGGCACTGCTGAAACAGGAGCGCTTGCAGGTGTGTTCAAAAGGGAGGAGCAGCACATTCCTAACCTGTGCTAGCTGGGCTGCCACTGCAGCAATAGCAGGCAGGGTGGGATCATCCTCCCTCCCAGAAGATGTCCATAAACCAACAACAGTGTGCTGCAGCAGATTGCACAGGAATGTTCCTGGTCTCTTCCCAGATCTCACCTATCCTGGCATTCCCAGGAAACCCTTCTATTCCTTCAGAGCAGACTTGCCATGGACTGGCCCAAGCACCCAAGAGTGACCAAAGTGTTCCAGGTGTGGCCCAGCTGTGGCCCTGTGGGCACACTGCTCATCTGGCAGCACGTTCATGAAGAGCTCTCCTGTTCATTAAGTGTTTACAGGACTCCTGGAAAATCCTGGATGGGCAGGATGCAGCTGGGAGTCATCCAGAGCAAACAGAGGGAAAGGGGCAGGCAAGGCAGAAGGGGCAGAGAAGATCGGCGGATGCCTGAACTGGGCTGGAGGTGTGGGAAGGAAGGGGATTAGGGAATCATCTCTGCACCTTTGCACTCTGCAGAGGCAGAAAGAGAATGGCCAGAGGGAGCTCCCTGCCCTCCCCAGGTGCTACCTGCCCTCTCCAGGGGGCTGGAGGAAGGGGCTGCAGGCCCCGGGCTGCATAGAACTTCACATCTGCAGTTACAGAGTGTCTGGACAGCTCCCCTGGATGATTTTCAGATGAGGTTTCAAGGAGCTAATGAAGGTATCCCTGCCCACAGCAGGGATTGGAACCAGATGAGTTTTAAGGTCTCTTCTAACCCAACCCATCCTGTGATTCTGTGATTCTGTGATTCTGAGCCCAGCACCTTGGGCTAGCTGAGGCTGTTGGCACAAATAAGGCCCACACTGCGTAAATCACCCCCATCTGCCCCAAGTGTCCAGCTGCGTGCCTTTGGTTCATTTTCTTTTTTCCATAGATGATTGTGGGCTGGGTCAGTTGAGGCACCCTCAGCCTCTGGGTGTGGTGAGAGGGTGCTGCACACAGGAGAAACTGAACCCTGGCTCACCTTGCAGTGATGCCTACATGGAAAGGTGGAAACTGGGCAGGCCTTGGCGGGGTGTGGTTGTGACAACAACCCTGAGGGCAAGCTGGAAGAGATGGCCAATATTGGGGTGGCAAACCCAGTGAGGAATGAAGGCTCAGTAGCATTTCTATTCCTGGTGTACACAGGTAAAGATAATTACACACATTGTAGAATGTCAGAATGGATTGGGCTGGAAGGGACCATCTCATTCATTCCCACCCCTGCCGTGGCAGGGACACCTTCCACTGTCGCAGGCTGCTCCAAGCCCCAGTGTCCAACCTGGCCACAGCTGCTCTGGGCACCCTGTGCCAGGGCCTGCCCACCCTGCCAGGGAACAATTCCTTATTCCCAATATCCCACCCATCCCTGCCCTCTGGCAGTGGGGAGCCATTGCCTGTGTCCTGGCACTCCAGTTCTTGATGAAAAGTCCCTCTCTCGCTTCCTTGCTGCCCCTTCAGACCCTGGAAGGTGCTGTGAGGTCTCAGCACAATCTTCTCTTCTCCAGGCTGAACAATCCCAGCTCCCAGCCTGGCTCCACAGGGGAGGGGCTCCAGTCCAGACCTGTTCCCAGAGTTCCATGTCCCGTATGTTGGGGGCGCCAGGACTGTATGCAGAGTTCCAAGTGGGGTTTCACATGGATACACACACATCCAATACACACACATCCACACATTGTCCGTGGCTCTGGTGGCAGCTGAACCTCTGCCTAGCACGGACAGAGCCACCACCTCCCTATATCGTGGATGTTCAGCTTTCCCTGGCACAATCCTTTCCTCACTGAGCAAATGAGTTCACTTAATAAAAATCCATCTTTCTGCTTCCCAGACGGGACGGCTGCAGATGGGATCTGCCTGTGCAGGAGCCCTTGTCCCTCCAGGCCAGGGAAGGGGGCCGGAGGGCTCAGCAGGGTGGAAATCCAGCTTCACCCTGCTTCAGCTAACTGGTTACAGTGTAACCCTCACGCTCTTTGGGTAAACTGAGGCAAGCTGCTGTCCTTCGTGCCCGCGGGAGAGTGATCCCAAAGGGCCGGGATGGCGAGAGGGCTCAGCCACAGGGAGGAGGTCTCCTTCGGGCTGTACCCAAAGGGCTCTCTCACATCCTTCCCTCGTGAAAGCAGCGGCTCCGCACCCGCAGCAGCTGAATCTGGTGAGGAAGAGGAGGCACCGCGGGTTCGGGTGTCTCTCGCCGCCTCCCCGGCGTGCGGATCCAGAGCAGGGGAAAACACCCGCCGAGGTCTCCGGTGCCTCCCGAAGGGCTCCGAGCCGCGGTCCCCGGGGCGGTGCGGGCGCGGCTGCGGCGGGAGGTGGGGAGGAGGGAGCGGGCCCGGCGCCCGCCGCCGCCCGGGCGTCCCTCTCCGCCGCTTCCTTTAGGTGGCACCTCTCCTCCAGGAATGAGGCTTCCGGCCCCGCGCATCCCTGCCCGGGCCGCGGCCGCGCACCGCGGGGGCTCCGCCGCGGAGCCGCCGCCGTCGGAGCGGCCCCTCCTCCCCTCGCCAGCCCGTGCCCGGCTCCCCCGTCCTCCCGCTCACTCCTCCAGCCAGTAAATCCGATCTAGGTTGATTCCTCTCACGTCAAACCACATGATCCCATAAAACATTCATCGCCTCTCCATCCCCGCTCGCTCGCCGCTCGCTCCCGGGATACAGCGCAGCCGGCTCCGCTCCCCGCCGCGGGATCCGCCGCAGCCCCGGCCCCGTGCGTGCGGCGGGCGGGCGGGCGGAGGGAGGAGGAGGCAGGCGAGGCGAGGCGAGGCGAGGCGAGACGAGGCGAGGCGAGGCGAGGCGAGGCAGGGAGGGGGAGCCTCGCCTGGATGCTGACTCCAGCTCGGGGGCTGCTCATTCCCCCGATGAGCGAGGGCACCGGGAGCGCCCCCCCCTCCCCGTGCGCCGCCGCTCCCCGCTCGGGCTGAAGTTTGGCTCCGGGATCTGCCCCGCTTTCCCAGGGATTGTACTGCTGCCGCTCCACTTTGCGCCTCCAGACGTGCCTTCCCCGACCCCTAAGATGAAGAGGGCGATAGCTGAAGGTAGGTGCGCCCCGCTCCCCCTCCGCCGCCGCGGCTCCCCCGGGCAGGGCACGGCGGCCGCGGCCCCAACTTCGCCCGGCGCCGGGAACTTCCCTCGCTGCAACTTTTTTCCCCCGTGGGGTCTTCGGGAGCGGCCAAGGTCCCACGAGGAGAAGAGGGACCGGGGGCCGGGCCGGGAGCGGGCGCTGGGGCCGGGAGAGGCGGCGGGGAGGGCGCGGGGGGAGCGGGAGCGCCGCGGCTGCGGGAGCGGAGCGGAGGCGAGGCCGGAGGGGGAGCGAGCACCGGGCACGGCTCGGCTCCAGCCGCGGAGCACGGCAGCGGGATGGAAGGAGGACAGAGGGATGATGGAAAGGGAACAGCGGGGTGGAGGGAGAGCAGGGGGCTGAGCCCCCTCCAGCCGCCGCCCAGCCTCGGCTTGGCTCAGATCGGCCTTGGGGTGACCGAGCGAAGTTGGTGCCTCCGGGGGAAGCGCGTCCCCAGCCCGCATCCTGCATCCCGCATCCCGCGGCGGAGGGGCCGGGACGGGCGGGAGAGGGGATGGGGCAGCCCGGCTTCCCCCGCTCGCAGCCCGGCCGCCGGAGGAGCTCCGGCCCCGCTCCCCGAGCCCGTCCCGCTAGCAGAGCCTCCGGACGGGGAAGTTCCCGGAGGGTCCCGGGGCCCCGCAGGGACAGCGGATCCTGGGGTGCGGTGGGGGCTACCCGCAGAGCCCTCCCTTAGGGTCCCGCCACTTCGTGTTCGGAAGCCGAAGGCTGGGAAGGGCTGGGGGTGCAGGGCTGGACCCCCTTTCCACTCGCTTGCAGCGCCGGGGGAGAGGCACGGAGCTCGCAGCCTGGCACGGGGGGCTCTGCCTGAACCTTTTCCATGGACTTTGGTGATAATCTTTGCTTTCCGGCCCCGCTGTGCGGGCTGGGGCTGGGGCAGGGCTGGCACAGGGGCCGGGGGCTGCGGCGGCTCCCGGAGTCCCCCGATCCCGCCGTGCCGTGGCCGCTTGCTGGGGCTCCGGGGGCACCGGGACGCGGCCCCAGCTCGGGAGGGACACTCGCTGCCGGGCTGCGGGCTCAGCCCACTCGAGAAGCGTGTGCCGCCCAGGTGTGCTCGCTGGGAACCCAACCCACGGATTGCAGTTTTGAACTGGAGGGATCAGCCCATCGTGGGAGCTCCCGGGCTGGCCAGGTGCTGGGCAGGGGAGGTTTGGGCATGCGGAGCCTCTGCCTGCTCTGACTCTGCTCCCGGCTGTGCTGTCTCCGGCTCGCTTCCCATTCCCGTCAACGACACAGATACAATTCTCTTTTCCTTTCTATTTTGGAGGGCACTCTGGCTGATTTATTTGTGCCGATCAAAGGACACATCCAAGCTGTGATCCACACCGCACATTGCCTCCTCGAGAGGCTTTGTGTCGATCTGAAACGTGAAATGGCCAATTTATTCCTGTTTGGGGAACACCTTGGGAGCAGGCTCTGCTGCCAGCTTCTCCCCGGGCCCGGAGGGGATGCTGATAGCCGAGCCTCCATTTGCCGGGGCCGTGCCCGGCGCGGGGGCTGCCATGGATCCGAGCCCGGCGGCTCGGTGCCCTGCTCGGCCCGCCGGTGTCGGGCTGTGCCGGGGGCTCTTTGTCCCCCACGGTGCCGGCAGAGCCGTGCAGGTGCTGGGTGTGCCCCGATCCCCTCTGCTCCATCCCCGCTGCTGCTGCAGCGCTGCTCTCCCCACGCAGTGACACTCCCGGCTGCCGCCAGCGTCGTGTGGAACAACACAGGGGATAATGAAATATAAAAACTGTGTTACAACTGCTTTATTTATAGAACGAGGCTTGGAGGAGTTTGGGGTTGAATTATTTGCTTTTTTTGCTGCAGTTTATGAATTGCTCCTGTGAGAGCCTGGCTTGCTAGCAGGTTTGGCTGGAAAGTCCTTACGAACCTGGGGGATTCAGTTTAGCTGAGTGTCCATCCTGCTGGATCTGGACTACATTTCCCACTGTGGGCTGCCAGGATGCTTCAAGTGCCTTGTAAGCCAGAAATAGCCACCAGGGGCAGTTGGACAGGCAGAGCTTTCCCTGTTCTCAGCACTTGCTGCCTTATTAACACGATTCATTTTTACTGAAAAGGGGCTTTCTATGCTTTTTTTTTTTAACCCGTTTTTTTTTTTTTAAAAGGGGGTTTTTTTTTTTTTTTTTTTTTTTTTTTTTTTTAACCCGAATACAAACCCCTGGAATAGGAGAACCTACATCAACATCACCGATGTGAGAGCAGCTCTTTTTTTTTTTCCTCTTGAGAGAAGACACCATTCATTGCATTATTCTGTATTTCCTGTCTTTATAATGTAAATTTTTTATCAAGTGCTCGCTGCATTTTCTGGGCTTTGTCCCCCCTTTCCCAGCCGGCACACAGACCTCAGACCTGTATTCCATGGGCCCATCAAAGGCTGTGGTTGGAGAGGTTTTCTAAGGAGGAATGTGCTTAAAGAGGAATTTTAGGGCACAAAGGTGGAGGTGCTGTTGCACCACTTGGTGCCTGGGCGTTGAACTGGTGCAGGCATCCGTTGTTCCCTGCTGGATCTGGGATGTTTTCCCAGACAAAGCTGGGCCAGAGAAGGAGTTAATGAGAAGCACTGAGAAAGAGTGGAGGGCTGCGGGCAGCACGTGCTGAACCAGCCGAGTCCCTTATGAATTCCCTCAATCCCCAGCTCAGGAGCTCCCGGCTTGCCATGGGAAAACCTCCTGGGAGCCTGATGTGTCCATACAGGAGTGGGAAGGAGAGGGAGTGGCTGGTGGGAAGGAGCAAGGGGACAGTTTGTCACACAGCATCTCTCTCTGCTCTGCCCTGCTCCCTGCCCTGCTCCAGGGGCCAGGAATACAAGGGCAGGAGAGTGGCTGCTGCTCCATCCACTCATCCTGTGGAGCTGGAAGCTGGCAAGGGCCACGGGGATGCACAGCTGAGATCCCACATTCCCTGTGCCAGGCTGTGCCTGCTGACACAGGCCCTGTGCTCTGTAATCTTCTTCTGACCCCAACAAGGACTAGGGCCTCAGCCTTCCAAAGGAATTACCAGAATCCAGCGGCACAGATGGGAATTTTCCACATTTTTCGTCTCAGAAGCAGCAAGGAGCCTGTGAGCTGGGGGCAGGGAAGGGGAGGATGCTTCGAGGCTGCTGCACCTCTGCCCAGCCCTGCCCAGCCCTGCCCAGCCCTGCTGGCTGAGGGCCCTGGGGCACCTTCCCTTCTCTGCCCATCCTCCTGAGCCATGCACAAGGAGAGGGGAGATGGCCTGAGCCAGAGCCTGCCTACAGAGCAGGACGAGGCAGACTGCACAGAGCTGAGCTCTGATTTCTGCTCTGAGCCTGCCCTGCTGGCTCTGGCGGCTCAGCCCCACCGTGCTGGAGCTCATCCCCGGCACGGGGGAGCTGCAGCCGGGATTCCCCTGCAGGACCAGCAAGGAGCCGCTCACTCAGGTGTGCGTCCTCTTCCCTTTGGATTTGCAATGCTGTCTGCTGCTGTCACCTTCAGTTAGACAGACCTCCGAGTGCCAGGCGGCTCTTTTGATGTTCCTGAAGAGGTTTTCTCTTTATGCAGGAGGCACAGCCCTGTGGAACAGGAGCGAGCACCCTGCAGCACTGCACGGAGGGGCTGTCAGAGGCAGCAGCTCAGCGTGGGGCCTGCAAGGGCTGGGACTTTCTGGGAGGGCTTGTCCCTCCTGGGAGATTCTGGGAGAGCTTGTCCCTCCTGGCCATGTGGGAAGCTCTGTTCTGTGTCCCAGAGCCAGATGGATCTGTCTGGGGTTTGTGAGTAGCAGCATGTCAGGGCTTCTCCATCACAGACACCCAGCGGTGTGGGAGGGAGGAGTGAGGCTGGTGAGACACAAAGCCCACCTTCTCCTCCCCTTTCCTGCTGTGGCTGCAACTCTTGGAGGTTTCCAGAGGCTGAGGGAAAAGGGGACAATTGTACTGAAAAGTCTTAATCAGCTGAAAGAGGCTGAGGGTGGATCCTGCCGTGTTTGCACAGAGATGCTGGAGGAATTCGTGCAGAATTTGCTCAAATGTGCAAACTCACCTCAGCCTGAGCTGTGTCTGTGTGAGACTGCTAGGACACACAGGAGTGGGAGTCTGGGGTGGCTGGTCACCCTTTATGAGGTGTTCATAGGGGTGTGTGGGCTCAGGGCAGGTGACACGGCTGTTCCCCTGGGCTGCGTGCAGCTCACGGCCAGGCCCTGCCTGTGTGGGCAGAGCACACCTCGTGGTGTGGCACAGCCCCTGACCATGCCTACTTTGCTTTTGGAGTGCTCCTAGAAGGCCTCTGGAGTCTGGTCTTGGCCCTGCTTCTTCCTTCTTTGTATCCTTGAGCAGGTCAATGAGCCTTTCTGTGACGTAGTCTCAGCTTTTCCAGCACTGTCCCTTGGAGAGTGATGCTGAGTTATGTCCCAAGGGACCCAGGATATGCTTAAATTCAGCCCAGAGCTGAGGTGTGGAGGCTGAGCAGTCACTAATCACCTCCTTAGCACTGCCACAGTGGCAGGTGACAAGACTGATGATCTCCTGAGGGCTGTTGCTGCATCCACAGCAGGTTTGTGTCTCTGGGCTGGCCAACCTTCCTCCCAGCCTTCACACTGCAGATTTTACAGCATTTATCGTCCCTCTCCTGGAACCAGGAGATTAGAAAAGCACTTGAGTTTTATTTTGAATCCTCCCTGGTTGTCAAGGAAAGCAGAAACACTCCACAAGCACATGCAAAGCATCAAGGAGACTGGAAACAAGGAAACACAAACACTCCCGTGCTGGGATTTTTAGTTCAGTCTCTGGAGAGCTCAGCAGTTTGAGGCATCACCCTAATGACTCTCAAGTAGCAGTGTTGGGTCCTGTCTGCATGGCTTAGGCAAGGCCAGGCTCAGAATATTTCATGAAATCACGGAATATGATGGATATTATCATCTGGGTACACCTAGAGCACCTCTGGAGGTATCTAAAGAACCTCTTGCCCAAAGCACAGCTGATTTCAAAGCCAGATCTGGCTG